TGTTTTAGACGAAAGCCACAAGGTTGTTTTGTTCATCGAGATTTGTCCCGAGCTTTTTTCAGTTTTTCCAGTGAGTCATTCATATTTCTAGAATTTTTCAATCAAAATATGAGTTGTAACATTAACTAAGTGTTATCTATCCAAAACACAGAATAGTATGTGACTATTTTCTAATAACTTTTGATAGAAAAGAGATAGAGAGCTCTGGTTCTCACCATTCGAAGAAGACACATAAGTACATGTTTTAATAACCAAAAGTTTTTCAGAAGAGTTTTCCTAAAACAGATTTTCGAGGAGTTCTCTGGAAAACCAGACCATGTGTAGAAATCTTCCAATGTGATTGCCTTGATCTTTTTCATGGGCTGATAGCGTGAGGTGTCCTCTTCAAAACAGGAGACAAACGAGTTCTTGATTTTCGACAGTTCGGACGCTGTATCGGATTTCCTAGGAGTCCCAGGATCGGCACCCGGTGCCTATTGGTAGCCTTGAAGACGGATGAACTATGGGAAATCGACCATGCTGAAAGAGTATGATTAATGTTGTCCGATAAATGTGATTATAAAATCAAAAAAATCAAAAAAGCGTATTTTTTTAATACGGTTTTCTTAAAATATTCACTTTTCCGAAAGTAATTCACAAAATCCTGAAGTTTTCTGAAAGGATTTCTAGAAAACCGTATTAAGAAAAATATGCTTTTTTGATTTTTTGGATCTTATAATCACATTTATCGGATAATATTAGTCGTATCCTGAGATTTTGAACTTGTTCTGATGTTTTTTGGGTGAATAATGAGTTTCTTAAGATTAGGTGAGAACAATCTGAAAATCCCAATTTTCGGTGGGTTTTTAAAATTTTTCTAAAAGCAAATATTGCCACGAGACTTAGCATGGTCCATTTCCCATACTTTATCTGTCTCAAGGCTACCAATAGTCACCGGGTGCCGATCCTGGGACTCCCGGGAAATCCGATACAGCGCCTGATAATAAGTCTCTTCTTTTCAAGGGGGAAAACCAGAGCTATCTATCTCTTTTCTATCAAAAGTTATTAAAAAAACAGTCATATACCGTTCTTTTTTTGGATGGGCAACAAATAAATGAAGATCTCATTTTTGAGATGTATAAAAGAGCAAGTCGTCAGCTGCACGCAAGAAGGTTTTTCGAATATTGACCTTTCGAATCTTTTACAATGCACTTTTCAAAATTTAGTGATAAAATCTTCAAAAGATAAAAGCTTTCATTTTTGATTTGAATAAAACTTAGCTCATGTGTTCATCGATTTTAAAGACCTAAGAAATTTGATCTTGTGTGGAAAATGTAAAAGCACGCGTTTCTTAATGAAAAAATGCATGATTCTTTTCTAGTGAGTGAGGCGTTATACAATTATTGCAAGATGTTTTAAATGGTATTTAACAAATTCCAGCAATTCTCAGCGAGATGGATGAGTATACAATGTCTAATAATAATTGCAAGTTTTACCATCGGCTATTATTCTCGTATTTTTCCAAGCTTGAATGTATCTTTCCAGTTAAATGCTCCATATATCAATGGAGCGGATTTGTTATTTAAGGTAAATATGTTATTGATAGGACAATGTAAATTAGCTTTATTCTATGTGCCTTTTTGCAGTTGTTTACGTACGATATTAGCAGTAAAAACGACAGTTTTTTTGTATGGCCTACAAGACAATTTAATTATAGTAGACCTCGAATCTGTATTGTTCATGCTGATACAAGAGATTTGGATAGTATTTATCAAGCTAACAATACAGAGCTCGATCCAACCAAACTCTCTTTTCATTCATTTAATTCGTACTACACGCAATTCTATGCATTGATCCATCGTTATGACTTTAAAAGAATCAAAGTGTCTACAATACCCGATCGACATTTGACGTGGACAAGGTTAAAGGGTGTTTACGATACATTATTGAAATATGATATTATTTTGCATCTTGATGGTGATGCTTTTTTATCTGATCTGTCTGTAAGTCTTGAATCGTTAATGAAGCATTGGAACTTTACTCATGATGCTCATTTCTTACAGACTATCGCTGTTGGAAATAGAAATCAGACAAATTGTGGATTTTGGATAATTCGAAATTCTCCATTGAGCCGGCAAAAGCTTTTAGATTTAATTGAATGTCCTGAAAAAATAGAAGGATGTCATCATTGGCGATACAACTTCGCTCATGAGCAAGCGGCATGGACAAACTATATTCGACATACAATGAAACAAGGAAAAGAATTTATTGTGGTCGATATTGAAGAAGCCAATGGTTGGCCTCCATGGGGTGGTAAACATGTTATATATGGTTGGGGTAAAAAAGAAGAAACGGTAACATGGATGATTCAATCAATTGCGAGACAAATAGTGATTCTAATGCATCAATTTACGAATGGGCATCATTATGTTTCATGCAGTTCATGGGAAAAAAGTAAAACGTTGTGCGATTAATTGAATTTGGTATAAATAAAATCTCACTTTTGAGTTGTATGAATTGTGATTTAATGACGATTAAATCCAGTTCATGCCTGATTAGTTACGCGCACTTATATATATATAGCAGATAGTTGCTAAGTTTGTAATAATCTTCATCACTTTACTCAGTTTCAGTTCATTCTCGCAACGATAATATAATTTAAAATAAATACTTTATAATTATTCTCGCATTGTTTTACTTTACGTAATTAACCTGTTTGCTAAACCAAGAAAAAGAGACCTGCCAGTGAAACAAGTAATAACTCGATCGAAAAGATCTGGCGATATTTCTTACCTTTACGCAGGATTTTTATTCTGCCAATCATGGCGGAATCCTACATAGTTTATGTAGAATTAACGTGGAGAAAATCCTGCGTAAAAGTAAGAAACCGCTACCTATTGTGAAAATGGCGTTTGCCAAAAAATTGGCTACAGTCATTTTGTAGAGCTCGATGAGCTCTATCTGTTTTGATATAAAATAGAAAAAATTTTCCTACTAAATCGATCACTGTTCAAAAACCCCGACAGCTATCGACCTAATTCTTTCACCATTTTACTCAGCTTATGTGCCTCCATATTTTCATATACGGTAGTCAAGAGTTTTATTTGGGTTTGAGCGAAGTTTTGTGCTTAAAAACTGCACATGAATCAATGCTAGCTGCTCATGTCACAACTTAATAAAAATTCTTCTCTTCTAACGGTCTAAAAATCATATGTTAAATTCGCTCGCGGTAAATTCGCTTCACAAACTTGTCTGACTTTCTTTTTAAAAAAATCTAGTGTAGGCCGTTAGCAGGTGAGGGTGAGGGTGTTTCTTGTATATTGAGACGTTTGTAAATACTAATAAAATTCATATTAGGAGAAAATTCACATTATGTCTATTTATAGCATGCCCTTCAAACTTCTTACTTAGAGTTACTGGATTGTCGGCTCACAACAGAGAGTGGCACGGAAGCCTTGAAATCATTGCATGAACGATCATTTTCAACATGCAGAACGGGCTTTCATTTACATTTGACTGATGATGTCTTTTAAATTAAAAACCAAACGTTTCATTCAGAAATAGTACTATAATGATAAATGTCTTTCATTTGTAAGATGTCTATTTCTATGCAGCAGATCAACGACAAGTGGTAAATTTATAACATTCCAATTTCGCATGAAAAATTAAGACCGAACCTTAATAAGCGGGAGGGAACTCAAGCCGAATAATTATTAGTTAGAGCTGGTAAATTGTTACATTTTTGTTTCAAAGGTGAATACTTACTAACAGGAATAACATCATAGATGTGTAAGAGTAAGTAAAAAGTCGTTATAAGCAGAACTGCTATTATTCTTTGGATGAAATTATAGAGCCAGTTATCCCTAGAGAACGTACTTGATTACTTCCTAAGTACTTGTCAGTGATCGAAATACTTGCCTTACTGCTAAGAAGTACTTTCTGAAAGTACTTGGCAAGTAAGGACAAGTACTTACAAGTAAATTTACTTCTTGAAAAAAGGCAAGTACTGGCTTCATTATGCAAACGAAGTACTCAGTCCGAGTACTTAGCCCCAAGTATGTTCTCTAGGGATATATTCAATATTCCTGTTTCTGTTCTAGATTAAAGAAAATACGGCGATGCTTATTGATTAATTATATATATTTGAAAAAAGATCAGCCATCTGTATAAAGAGATCTATCACTATCATTAAACATGTCTTTTTTACATGATGTGTGGTTTGAAAGTTGCATCATTCATGTTTGTACATCTATCTATATATATAAAGAAGAAAGTTTGTTTGTATGTTTGTTTGTATGCTTGTTTTGACGGTAGGTATTGCTTCAGGGAACTTCTTCCTTTGAATTTGATCATGCTCTCATCTATGCAAATGTTAGTTCCCAAGATATAATTTTCTTGAAAATTTCTTTTCAGCAAGCGCATGAAGTCAAAAACTTTGAATAACTTGTACTCCTTGGAGGTCATTGTCAATTGACTTTGTTTCGCATCATCGCACAAATGTAATGCAGAGAACAATCGATAAAATTCGTTCCTAGGCATGACATTGGCAATCCCTTCCGTATGGAATACTTTGTTTCTGCTCCAATAATCTCTAAGCCGAGGTACTCGATGTAAACCCATAATAATTAGTACACCAAGAAAACACGAGTATTATTTTCATTCACTTTTTTGCCAGTTATTTGGTGATCCCTTCGCTAAAGATTTCTTCTCTCCATAAACATTCGTTTGCGTTACAATCATATCAATGATATCCGTGGTAAAAAATTTATTGAAGATATCGATTGGGTCGATGCTTTCTGTAAGAGGTATCGCTGTATGTCCTTTGATTTCCGCTGAAGAAAAATTTGTACTTGGGATAAAGTCTTCGCTCCAATTCCATTGAAGTTCTTCGTCTTCATTTTCCACAACGCTGCTTTCTTCATCCATTTCCACGTCACTTTCAGTATCGTCACTAATATCATTGCCGTTATCAAAAGATGAGACACTTGTCTCACTTTCTCGATCGAAATCCATTGGTTTCTGCGACTAATAGACTTCGCAGTTGACGAATAAAACAGGAAGAATCCTAGACTTTATTTCGATATCGGTAGTTTATTGAAATGAATCTCAATCCAAACATAGTCTTTATATACACATCTCAACGATTCGCCGTGAACATTCTAGAATTTTCTCGCTAAAACAAGATATAACTTATCATCAGACTGTGCAGGAAGCTTCTAGAACATTCCCTGTTTCTATACTTGAAAAAAATTTGCAAAGATTTTCATTAATTACATTGCAAAAAAGCGTTGCAAAACAGGTGTAGCTTTTTTTATATTATGGGATTGAAAGGGTTAATTGCCAGTATATCTCTGACGGAACAGAGGGCGCCACAGTACGATATCGATTCTGACGTTTCGGAGAAGGCATCATAGTTTCATCAGAAATTGGAAGTCGATAGAGGTCGGTACTGTTCAAATGATGACGCCTTATTCGGATAATGACGTCATGTTTGAATAATAAGGTCGTTATCCGAATGTCATGGCGTCATGCTTTATTCATCTAACATGATCATGTACAATTTGTTGCTAAACGAATAACGAATTGTCATAATCAAAACATATACCCTAGTCATCGGTTCTTATATAAGAATCTTACAAGAATCTTACGAGCATCTTATAAGAATCTTACTCAATTCTTATATGAGATCTTATAAGAATTTCACAAGAATTCATAAGAAATTGGTAAGAATCAGCATAGCTCGCACGTTATTCTTATAAGAATTCTGAAGAACTTTGATAAGAAGAAGAAAGCTGACATCTTTTATTCAAGGCTCGCAGATCTAGGACGTCTTGCTGTTGAGAAAAGTAGTAATTACGTGTTTTTCCTCTTCGAATGTCAATATGTCGCTAATTTACGTTTAAGTGGCGTCAGGCGTCACTATTCTACTATTGCGCACGGACCGACGGAATGAAGCAAATCTAACCGTCCGTCATTGCAGATCGCCACGAAGTTGGTGCCAGTAGATAAAATGTGTCAAATTTAATTTCTGACATTTTCGGTTCGAGAGCCAGATTTGTCAGATGCTTGTGCTTCACGGTGAAAAGTGTTAATTATCAAAAATTATTTATGTTCATACTCTGGACTGCTTCCTAGTTGTGATTAAAAGCCACACTCTGGTAGGATCAGACGGGCGATTATGCTGGAAGTAACCCATTCAGCTGAGATTTTTACCGTACGTAGTACACATCAGTACAAGTTTATGGTAAAAGTTTCCGACATTTATGCTGCTTTATTCAAGAGTTATAGCCAAGGGGGAAAAGGCGGGATGAGATGCTCAGCATCCGATGCTAAGGAAGTAAAAAGTCGCCTTTTCCCCCTTGGTTATAGGTGTCGCAAGTGTCCGAGGATCGGCCGAGGCATGGATTCATCCAGAGATCGATTTATTTCTTCCTGCCTTCAAAAACTGGAAATATGAAACTTATGAAATTTAAATCGGTTTTCAATGCTGAATCCAAAACTATGATTGAAACTTTTGTCAAATGTTGTTATAGCTCAAAAACCAGAACCCTAGTTTTCCTTAAAAACACAACATATTCCAAAAACTGTTTTATTTATTCTAATAGATGTGTTTTATTTGTCATACTCAAAAATATGACTCAAAAATATAATAATACTATATAATACTCAAATATATAATACTCAAAAATATGACAAATGACATGTCTATAGATTCAGTTTTTGATGGAGATCACGAATCTGCTATTATTTTTGTCAAAATATGTACCAGAAGAATGAAAATCGTGAAACACGAGCGCGTTTAACCATAGGATTCAAGAGATTTTTATATTTCAAGAGCCAGTAATCGTTGTCTGGACTATCGAGTATACTCATAAATTTTATTTTTAATGGGCATTAATTTGATATATGATACTCTGTTATATCATTTGTAGTTTGAGCGGTACCCCCTTGGAAAAACATTTTTTCCGACCTTGTACTGTTTGGGAAAAATGAAACGCGTTCACCTGTTCTTGTTCATCATGTCGAAAGAGAGAAAGATCATATATTTTGTTTGTCACGGTGTGTGACAAGAGAGAAAACCCACCATTGAGCGAGCTGTTCACCTGAAGTTTTGCCCACAGACAGATCTCGAGACTGTTAGAATCTTCTAAAAATTTCAGCTCAAATGAATGTTGTCTTCTCGAGATATTGAATGACCAACTAATCATTCACTCTCATGGGAAGATGTTCTTAATCGACTTTTCTCGAGCATTCAATGGCTCGAGAGGAAAACATGCATTTGAGCTGAAATTTTTAGGACATTCTAATGGCCTCGAGAAAACTTCAGGTCAACAGCTCGTAAAACGATCTCTTATGAATACCATACTCAGAGGACGAAAACTCACTGAAGTGGACCATAGCTCTAGATTTGTAGGGCGTATGCACGAATCCTTTTAGATTTCAACTAGTCTCATCGAGTCTTATTTATGGGCAACATATCAGCTCGAACAGCGCTCAATACTTGACGACCTTTTGATATGGGTCACCCGTTATTTCAAGGCATTATATCGTGTTGTATATTTAATTGTTTTTCTCAGGAAATATATAAACGCATCGATAGTAAACTGATCCTGTTGATGGTATTTTCTTCGGATCTTTGTACACATAACTCGTCTCAATTGCCGTAAATTCATGTTTCTCCTCGAAATTGGAATGTAGGATAGCATTCGCATCGCCTGTCGTCGGAACATATTTGTACGATGAATAGCGAAGCAGAACATAGTCGTTTCCAATCGTTAAATTGTTAACTGTAACGATGCCATCCATCTCCGTTGGATCTTCATAAAAAAACGGATTGGGTTCGTCCCACGCAGAAACCGATAGACGAACAGGTAGTGTCACTCCATCTGGATCCACAATGCCAGTGATAGAGATTCCGTAGTCGACCTACAATGTTGGTGAAAAAAGGATTTCTTTCGATGGTTAAGTCAAAAATGGATTAAATTCTGATGTCAAAAACATCTTAATCTAACTTTAGTTAAATGCATTTAAAAGCTTCCTTCTCTATTAGTCGTTCTTTTCTTGTAGAAATACTTACGAGGGAACCTCCCCAAGTGATAACCGCAGATCGAACTGCTATTCGTGCCGTTAGGTAGGATACCTCGAGGTTAGCACAGCCGTGTAATAACTCAGACCCATGGCGTGTTTTGGCCGAGATATCGAATTTTTAACAGACTTTCCCTGCAAGATTCCATTTCTCTAGCACAATCATATTTTCGAATTTTCACCTGAAACTTTGCCCGCATAAAGACCTCAAATAGAATAGCTTGCAGACAAAATTTCAGAATTTTTAGTCCAATTCTCTTCGAGATATGAATTTTTCAAAAACTGCATGTTTTACACGCTATCTATGGAAAAGCCCCTATATCTTGAAAAAAAACTTGGACTAAAAATTCTGAAATTTTGTCTGCAAGCTATTCTTCAGTTCTTTATGCGGGCAAAGTTTCAGGTCAAAATTCGAAAATATGATTGTCCTAGAAAATGGGATCTTGCAGGAAAATTTCGATATCTTGGCCAAAACACGTCATGGGCCTGAGTTATTACACAGCTGTGCTAATCTCGAGGTCTCCTACCTAATGGCATGAACAGCAGTTCGATCTGCGATTATCACTTGGGTCGTTAGCTAAGAGTGGCACTTATAAAAACCCTGTTCATATTCAGTTAATAAGTAAAAAACGAAGTGAACTCACATCTAATGGTATGCATCCATCGTCTGCTTCTTCTTTCGTACACATCGACTTTCTCCTTGATCCCCACTCATCTTCACTCATAGTTTTCTCAATTTTTTCCTCGTCATATAGATCATAATAGATGAGTTCATCGTCTGGATCATATTCGTCTTCATTTTTATATCGTATCCCAACCGCTGGCACAATATGATCATAATCTTCATAATCCATGTCGGGAAGAAAAATACCAAACATAACGGGATGTCTGCGCAAAATTGATCGCTTCATCCAACGACAAAAGTAACGAAACTGCGGTTGAGGATATTTCATCCAATCCCATTCTTCATAGGTGAAATGAAGTAGGATCAAAGTACGAATTGGATCTCGGCAATCATTGGCCGATAGTGGTTGCAAGAGATATTCGCCTTTGTTTATGGTATGAATGAGTTTTTGAGAAATCCAAGCCCCGTAATACAGACCTAAAATACGCGACAATTATTGATAACATGAAAGCTCGTTTCAGATTATACCAAACTCGAAACTAAGAACCTATTACTATTAAAAACAAAACAGTGATGAAATAGCCTGTGTCCTAACAAATGGCGTCATCCGAATTTCGTTAGTATTTCCCTAATTTTTTTCTCGATTTCATTTCGACTTTATTGTTTTCTATATCATTCGCAATTCATCAAAATGCTTCCCTGTGAAACGGCGGCCGAAACAAAAAATGGGTCGAAAACCGGCTTTTTAGAGCTTTTGACTCTCAGCTACCATGAGAATGGTCTGTCATGGTCTGAATGACTTTGTCTATATGTAATTCACTGCGCTTTATCCACATATGCAAGAATCAAATTGATTAGGCAACGCTTCGACCCTGAAACTTCCAATGACCTGAAGGATTTTCTGGTCTCCGAGTTGTTGACTGCCAAAGGTACACCTAGAAACCTTAATCCAAAAAGATATTTACACTAGAGATAGATTAAGCAGCATTCTTTCCTATAGTGTGTCGTTCAAGTCAGAAATCAATGTCTCATCTGATTCGATCTTCTGGAAAACCAGTTTTTCGGAAACTCTAAAACTAAATCAAAACTTTTCTAACAAAGTATGATTGTAGCGCACAATTTTCTGATTAAAATGAGACATCTCTCAGCTCTATATGACCTTTCTTTGCAAAGTTATAAGACGTATAAGAAAAGTCCTAAATTCTGCATTATCAGCTCAAGGCTACAGAAACAAGAGGAAAAAATTAATTTAGGACTTTTCGTATTTAGGACTTTGGTGTAAGTTTTGGACACGAAACCTTACATTCTGCTACTTATTCTATACGCTGTAACTCTTGAATAATTTTTTTTTCCTCCTGAAATGTCAGTATGTCGTTAATTTACGTTTAAGTGGCGTCAGGTGTCACTACTCTAGTATCTGGCACGGACCGACGGACATTTCGTTTGTATGACCCAAGACTTTTAGTCAAGGGAATGAAGCAAATCTAACCGTCCGTCATTGCAGATCGCCACGAAGTTGGTGCCAGCAGATAAAATGTGTTAAATTTAATTTCTGACATTTTCGGTTCGAGAGCTAGATTTGTCAGATGCTTGCTGCACGATGAAAAGTGTTAATTATCAAAAATTAGCGTTTTTCTCGCTAATTAACGAAACTGATGCCAGCAGATAAAATATGTGAAATTTAATCTCTGACATCTTTTACTCAATGCTCGCAGATCTAGGATGTCTTGCTGTTGAGAAAAGTAGTAATTACGTGTTTTTCCTCCTCGAATGTCAATATATCGCTGATTTACGTTTAAGTGGCGTCAGGTGTCACTACTCTACTATTGCCCACGGACCGACGGACATTTCATTTGGTATGCATCCATCGTCTGCGTCTTCTTTCGTATACTGAACCCCAGATATATACGATTATATGCGATATTTTTGTGTTTTGTTTTTGTCGCTGAGCTAAACAAAACGTTTTCCAAAAGTTAGCCTGTTTGTTCTTCATTTCTCGGAAACGATTTACTTAGCTCAGCGACAAGAATGAAACTCAAAAATCGGACTTCGTTATGCCCTGAAGAAAGGTGTTGGCTACATTTCAAGACCAATCCGAGATGTTTAGCACGTGAATCAACAGAGAAATCTTGAAATTACACAATGCTACCAAGGCAATAGTTGATTTAGACGAAAGAAAGAAGAGAAAAGCAGATTTTTTGATGTTCTTAGAAAAATGTCTATAACTTTTGATTAGAATATTGCACAGGGCTCAATAACGCCTCATTTTGAAGAAAACACTTTTCTCTATCTGAATGACTGTTTCAAAAATTTTTGACCAGTCAATACAGGTGTGGACAATTTTGCAAAGTGAACAACGATGAAGTAGGATTTCCAGTGGCCAATCATAAAAAATGCATAACTCCAGAAGAAACGGTCAGAGAGAGCTTAGCAACATCTCATTTTGTAGAGGGCACTTAACTGTATGTTGTGGTATATTTAATTTAAAAACTGAAAGTCTCAATAGGAGAGCGGGCGAGAAGTATTCTTTAACAAATTCAATTTTGATCACAGTTAACGGATTGTGAAGAAAATTTTGTTTTACTGGCATATTACCTCCAATCAATGAATCTTTATAGTACACGTCACATCACTATCAGATGGTTAATCCTTTGCATTTTGAAGCCTACCACTATGACTGGCACAATAATAGGATTAAATTTTCAATCTTATAATGTCGTTTTTGATGATCCAACAACACAACACTTTAACTCGACAAAAATGTTTTCTTTTTATAAACCTTGAGTAGTCTTCTTTATTAATTATTTTTATATATAGTGATGCACAAAAATATCTGCTCTTTCGAACAGCGTTTGAACTGATTCCCTAGCCTCAACAGTAAAAAGCATATACTAAAAACAAAACTCGCGCTTTATTTTTTCTCATCTCGGTACATTCTAAAAAAAAATGTATTCTACAAAACCAAAAAGAGTATCTGCATTTGAAACTAATAAGTACGGTTTATCCGTATCTTAGAGTACTTTTTTGGTTTTTCAAGATACGTTTAAGGGTACTCTACTACTTTCTTGATTCTGTAGATAGAAATACCCTGGAACGTATCCTGAAAAACCAAAAAAGGTACTCAAAGATACGGATAAACTGTAATTATTAGTTTCAAATGCAGATACCCTTTTTGGTTTTGTAGGGTACGTTTCTTTTTTAGAGTGTAGTTAGTCTTTAATCTTAGATCACGACTAGAGCAAATCTAGGCAACTTCAGGAGAAATTTTGCGAGAAACTCCATTAAAAGTTCCTCCTGATTGTTTCAAAGCGATAGATCGGCTTATGACGCACGTATTACCAAATTTAATCTATTCAGAAATAAGAAATTTGAGTAAGTTGATAGAGCAGTTAGATCAACTAGTTCTCTGTTCACTCACAAAATACTTCATAGGAGGCAGTGCACGATAGGGACGAACTAAGTTGCTCAATGAACTTTCACAAATTTTTCTGAGATTTTCAGAGCAGATAGAGAAATCTGTCCTGAACATTTTTTTTCAAAGTGCTTTCCGTAGACGCTAGAGGGCTTGCAAAACACCTCATGAAATACGGAAAAAAAGCAATTTTTCAGGCGAAAATTTTCCTTACGCTATAATTCCGTCAAATCAAATGCTAATGAGCTAAACCTTTTACCACAGCTGTCTTGGTATGAGTATTATCTATGATAAAAATTTGAGCTTATTTGAGTTAAGCGTTCTCCAGCAATAGTTTATTCTTTAGACACTGAAAAAATGTGATCGGGCGTTTTGCAAAGACTTCGGATTTTCCAATTTTTAGAAACGTTTTTCGGAAAATATTTTTCGAAAGTTATCTTGAAATTCAGCCACATCCGTCAACTAAAACATTTTTCTGATTTACCAGTTCGATGCAAAATTAAATTTTCTATATATCTCCGCAAACCGCAGATTTTTAGCATTAAATTTTGATTTTTTCAGAGATGTTTTTGCGATGCCCTCGATATTTCACCTTCGCAAATTTTTCGGAAAACAAAGTTACATGGACTAGAAAGAGAATTCCGAAAAATTTGTGAAGGTGAAATAGCAAGGGCATAGGAAAAACATCTCTGAAAAATCGGAATTTAATGCGGAGAGCGATAGAAAATTCAATTCTGCATCGAACTGGTAAATCAGAAAAATGTTTTAGTTGACGGACGTGGCTGAATTTCAAGATAACTTTCGAAAAATATTTTCCGAAAAACGTTTCGGCGACTTCGACGACGGTTCGTGGTAGTATTCTAGATCTATTTCACGAAACCGTAGAGAGCCCTTCAAATGGACCATCTTCGGTTGCAAAAATCTCTTTGCAAAACGCCCGATCACATTTTTTCAGTGTCTAAAGAATAAACTATTGCTGGAGAACGCTTAACTCAAATAAGCTCAAATTTTTATCATAGATAATACTCATACCAAGACAGCTGTGGTAAAAGGTTTAGCTCATTAGCATTTGATTTGACGGAATTATAGCGTAAGGAAAATTTTCGCCTGAAAAATTGCTTTTTTTCCGTATTTCATGAGGTGTTTTGCAAGCCCTCTAGCGTCTACGGAAAGCACTTTGAAAAAAAATGTTCAGGACAGATTTCTCTATCTGCTCTGAAAATCTCAGAAAAATTTGTGAAAGTTCATTGAGCAACTTAGTTCGTCCCTATCGTGCACTGCCTCATAGATAATCAATATTGAAAATGTAAAGATGACATACCAATAGACTGAAGAGCTGTTTCACCACAGTAACCATTACCATTATCCCATTGCAGTCGAGGTGGAATATTAAGCAACAAAGTCTTTTGATTGAGCGTTTCAGTTTTTTCCTCCGTCGTATTTGGTGAACTTATGGTTGCCATATAATGAGAGTTCAAGAGAAAGATCACACAATGGACAAGAAACTATAGCCGCCTTCCAATGAAGAGGAATATTTGTGTTACGATCTGAAAATAAAACCTTCATGAAGTATAGAACTGCGCAGGTACGTTCCCAGTTACGGTTTTGCAGGTTCGCACTATTTTGTCGTATTTATTAATTGAAATCTTCACCTTATATTTCTTCCGTGAATCATGAATGACGTAGCGTACACTCAATCATCAGTATCACCACGATCAAAGTAAACATGACGTTTGTCTACACGTGAACTTACACTCGAATAGGTTGACTTTTTTACCTTCTCCAAGTGCTATTAAAGAACAATAATGCGTCATACCTTTTTCTTCTTATCTACTTACACAACAACGATCTGAAGAGGAGAAGAGAGATGTCTT